GCTGTGCTTACCTGTGGCGCACAGGAGGACGGCGACCTGGCAGAGCGCGGAGAGCGGCGCCGGACGAGACATCATATCCATAGGGAGCAAACACACATACACAAACACTGACACACACACACACACACACTGACACACACGCGCGCGCGCACTAGCGGCCGCAGTGACGGCGGCCGTGCCTGTGACTCGAGACCGCGAGGCACGCGACGGTGACGGCGGCGCGCAGGGCTCGTCCCACGGTGCCGCTGGGGCTGCAGGCGGTGCCTGCCGACAGCGTCGTCGCGACGCCCTGCTCCGGGGGCGCCGGCGCCGTGGCCGCGGCGGCGCCAAGGGCCGGCGGCGCCGCGGACATGGTCAGGGGGAGGTCCCCCCCGACGCGACAAAGGGTCCCCGACGACGCTCCCGGCCGCTCTTTAATCCAGGGCGCGCTGCGAGCCGGGTAGCGGAGCGTCGCGCGGAGGAGGGGCGTCTTCGACGACGACGTCGAGGTGCGCGGCGGGGCGCGAGGGCGCGCGGAGAGCGGCCAGGCCGGGGCGACGTGAACACCAGAGCGGCCTGCCGACTACTGACTGAACTACTGTCTGCCTGCTGAAACGGACTGGACTGTCTCTTCTCCGTGCTGAGTCTGTCCGGGCTGCGGGCCGCTCGGCTCGGCTCGAACGCTACACACGAGACGAGCCGAGCAGCGCCGCGCCGCGCCGCGCCGAGGCTGCGCGCACCCTCGGCTCGGATCAAAAGGAGGGGGAGGGTGTGGGGGGTGTCGGGGGTGCCGTGCCGTCGCCAGCCGCTCCTCGCCAGCCACCCCCCGGCCGCCGCCGCCCGCCGCCGCCACGGCTCCCTCCCTGCCTCCGAGCCGTCGCTGCTGGACCGCGCCGCCCCGCGCCGCCCCGCGCCGCCCTGCGCCGCCGTGCCGACGCCCTCGCCCTTGTATCCATGCCCGTGCGAGTCTTTTGCGGGCGTGGAAGGAAAGGGGAAAGGGGTTTGGGGTGGAAGACGCACCCTTCAGCTCCTCTCCACCTCCGCGCTCGCGCCCGACGACGGCGACGTCCTCCTACGTTTTGTCTGCAGGCGGGGGGGGAGGGGGGGAGAGGGGGGACACCCTGCGAGCCGACGCAGGCGGCCTGCGAGTGCCTGCGAGCGACAACACCCCCCCCCCCTCTCCTCGGCCAGCCCGTGGAGGCGCTGGTGCTGGTATGGTATTGACACATTGACGTGTGATTGGGGCTGCTGTTTTCCTGCACGACAGGATATCTGTCCGGCGAGTTTCGGCGTCGTCGTGTCGTCGTCGGGCGTGTGCAGGACACGATGCGAGATCAACAAAAACGATGAAATTGCGACCAAAATATTTATAAATGAGCAATGACGCTACACTAGTTTGTGTTATGGAGCACGATGTAGAAGAACTAAAGACCCTCTCAATACGGTGAGCAGTGGCAGTGGCGGCTGAACTTTTAACCTCCCAAGAGCAGAGAGGGCTCTCACTTCACGGCAGAGAGAACAGAGATTTGTGATGGAAGCAGCCCGTGCCCGTGGTGCAGCAGAGCAGAGAGGGGAGGGGAGGAGCGCGTCGCCCCGCGGCTAAGCGATGCGTGGGAGGGAACGTGGAATCTTGCGGCACAGCGGGGGGGGGG